ATTCGTATTTGTCGTTGTTTATCCGTCCTATTCGTTTTCGGTGCTGGTTGAGCTAGTAGTGGCTAGTTCTTAACTGGGCTAGCAGCCCTGCTAGGTTACGTGGGAGTTTGTCGTAGAGGTGCCTTACGTATGGTCTAGGAATCGCTATATCTACGTTGCGGAGGTGTTGGCCTTTCTCTAACGCTTTCTATTCTTTATTCTATTGTGTGTGTGCTGCTTCGAGAGATGTTTTGACTTGCAGCGGTATTAAGGGTAGAAAGCTGTGTTCTCTAAGACGTGTTGTAGCTTGTTTAGCTAGCTTATCTGCTTCCTTATTTCCTTGGATACTATAGTGGCTTGGGATCTACTGGATCGTGAAACTTATTTAAAGACTTTTATAGAGAGATTAGGCTGTACTAAGGATAGACCGTACGATGCTTTAGCCTAATCTCTTTTTATATCTCCTAGTTAGAGCTTAGAGGGCGGCTTTAGAGTCGCTGTAGATAACGTATTCGGTTAGGCTATGGGGTCCCTCTTGTAGGTGTTTTTCAGCTACTAGCTCTATCCCCGTTAGAATAGTAATTAGTTCGGCTGCTTATACTGTGTAGAAATTACTAGATCTAACTCCTTTAAGCGTACTGTATCGGGCGTTCCTAGCTTAGTCTAGAATAACTGCTGCTGCTCCTAGCTGGTTGTTTATCTTAGAAGTATCTGTATAGACCTAGGAGAGCGGGTCTCTCTTTTCCGCGTAACTTAGGAATACCTTATCTTTATCTAGGGGTAGTGTTGTCTTAATCTCTACCGGGAGTAGTTACTAGGGAGGAGGTAGGTAGATATCTATTATTTCGGTTTCTTAGTGCGGGATTAGGCTACTAAGTTTTAGGGTCGCCTTTAGCGGACTTAAGAAGCTCGCTGGTTTATTCCGGGTTTTATCGATCTTAGGGACTAACGCGTATGTAGGGTACGAGGTAGGTAGCCCCCTAAGACTAGTAATAACTCTTGCTGCTCTAGATTCGAGGCGTATTCTTATAGGTAAAATAAAGTTCTCTATATCTAGGGTCTCTGTCGATACCGAACGAAAGGTAGAGATAGCCTTTATTATTGCTAGCCGTTGGACCTTAGAGAGAACCGATATTTACTACTTGTACCTGTTGGGGGAGTGCTAGACTATAGAGGTATAGTCTATCTGCGGGACTACGTAGGCTTAGTATAGCTGGCGGAGTTGCTTCGGTCTAAGATGCCCTAGCCTGCCTATTGCTAAGTAGGTTGTAGTAGCTCGTTTAATTACTCTTTGGATATGCGCTCTCTATCTAAGTTCTTAGTCGAGAACTACTCTAAGTAGCTTTACCGCCTTTATTAGTTTAACCTCGTGTCTACCTATTGTTACGGTTGCTAGGCTGTCCTGATTGGTATTTCTCGTAAAGTGGATAAGCTCGGTCTTGTCTGCCTTAAAAGTCGATCCGGTACGCCGTGCCTATTATTGGATTCTCGGGATATCCTCTCTCTATAGCGCTGTTAGGTTCTTTTATGCTGAGAGGCTTACCCTCTACCGGAAGTAGTCGTTAATGTAGGCGGACGCGCCTCCGGTAAAATCTACTAGTTGGTCTACTAGGTCTACGTTGTAGAAAGCGAAGAGAATTAGTAAGAGAGGAGAGCCTTGTGGGAGACCGGGGTAGCTAAGTATTAATATAGGCTTAGTAAATCCGTCGAATGAGATTAAGGCGGATCTATCGGATATGAAGCTGCTAATCTACTTTCTTGCCTAACTTGGGATTCTTCTCTGGCCTAGATAGTTATCTAGAGCTTCTTTATTTACCGCGTTAAAGGCGCCTTTAAGGTCGAACGCTATTAGGGTGACTACTTTATGCTCTTTCTAGGTAGACTAGATTGCGTCGACTAGGATAAGAAGGGCTTGCTCCGTTGACCTACTCGGCCTAGCCCCGAATTATGAGTTCGGGAGTAGGTTAAACTTTTCGGTATAGAAAGAGAGCCTTTTAGCTACTATTGCTTCTAGCGCCTTCCCTAGGGTATTAAGTAGGGAGATTAGTCGATACGCTTTTAGGACTGTATAGTCTAGTTTGTTTAGCTTGCGTAAGATAGTAATTGCAGCCGTTCTCTACGCTTTAGGGTGGTATCCTAGATTTAGAGACGCCCTAAAGATCCGGTAGATAGCTTCGGATACGTAGGGCTAAATCTTTTACTAGACTAATATCGGTAAACCGTCTTCTCTAGGGGCCGACGTTGGTTTAGTTCCTTATAGACTAAGGAGTATTTCTTCTTTAGTGACTGGGTGCTATTTAAGTAGAGGTTGTTACGGTGATTCCGGGTTTTCTTCGGGTAGGGTAGGTTTAGGAAAGAAGTTGTTTAGAAGAAGTATCGCTTTGTCTTCGTTGGTTGTAGCTTGTCCCTTACCCGTTACTAATAGGGGGATAGCGCCGTAGTCGTCTTTCGAGTTTATATACTTAGCCGCTTTCTAGACTAGATTTCCTTCGCCCGCGCGGTCTAGGAAGTCTTTCTAGTAGCTACTTTTTACGTATTTAATTGCTCTTACCTATTCCCGACGACTCTTTTGTATTGCTATAAACTAACTTTAGGTAAAAGGGTCGTCTCTACCTCTCGCGGCGTAGTACGCTTGCTAAAACCTTCTTAGTTTATTATGCTCTACCTGTTGTTCTTTAAGTTTAGGATTAAACTACTGTTTCGAGTATTGGTACGGCCTTACGGTAGGAGTTAGCTCGGTTACTATCTAAGTTATTATAGTAATTAGTTAGTCTATAGCTACGTCGAGCTCCTCGCGGGTATAGATATATTCTAGTATTACTAGGGCGTCCTAGATAGTTTTCCCTACTTTCGACTAGTCCATTCGTTTATACATCCTTTTTAGAGTTCTCTCTGCTTTAGACTCTATTTTTAGGTTCTATTCCGAGTAGATAGGGCGGTGGTCCGATCCGTAGCTTTAAGGGAAAAGTTCGTATTTAAGAAGGTACTACTAGAGGTTGCTTAAGGTTAGGTCTATTATTATTTTGCTACCTTGCTTATTTACTACCTAGCATGTTAGCGTACCGCGGCGGAGGTAGCTTTCGAGCTTATAGTCCTGTATAAAGAGTACTAGAGACGCGGCGTCTCCTACTAAATACGGTTTTATTTAGTCTCCGCCCTAGAGTAGATCTTGCCTATTAAAGTCCCCGCCTATAATAATACCTCGTTAGGGTATTATTTTAACTATTTGCTGGATTATTCTTAGCGTAGCTTGTATTTCTTATTCTGCTGCGTGGCGCGTTCCGCCGATTAGAGGTATATATACTGAAAATATAAGGACTTCCCTAGCTAGCGTAAGTACCTTGATTACCGTAATGTCTAGGCTATCGTAGTAGACTTACTATTATGCTGCGGGTAAGATCCGTTTATTTATATAGATTACGGTCCGTTTTCTTTTTCCTTTTATATCGGTTGGGACGTAGAGTTGCTAGGCTCTATATTGGATAAATATTTTAAAGAAGGATACTAGTAGTTCTTAAATAAGGAGAATATCGAGTTATACTATTTCTAGGTCGTTTATTAGGGCTTCTATATAAGCCCTTAATTTCTATATATTTAACTATAGGATCCGAAGTGTATCTAGTATTAGATTCTAGGTTATAGTGGGTTAGGGTTATTTCCTTCTTCTCGGTAGTTTTAAGCTAGGTGGCCGAGTTTTTAGCAGCGGTAGTACTTCTTTCTTTCTAGGCTGTAGTACTCGGCGCGGTTTACGAAGTTAGGCCCGAATACAAGGCCGTTTTAAATCGCGTAACGTGCTACGTCTTCGCTGCTAAACTAGATGCCTAGGGAAGCGTGTTTTCCTATAGGAACGTCCTTCTTCTTTATCCAGGCGATGTCTTCGATTTGTTAGGTAGGCTAAGTATAGCTATTTTCTCCCCTAATTTTTCTAATTGCTTCTTCCTTTTTACTTATGTTAACTTCTTCGGTTAGGACTTTATATATTACTACTCTAAACCTAGGGCGGTTAATCTTTACGCCCTTCCCTAGGATATTCGTCTACTCGTCGTAATTACTAGCCTACTCTCGATCTTTCTCGGTTCTAAAGCGTATAAGGTATCCTTATTTAGTTATACCTACTCCTAGGACTTCGGTATCTCTCGTAGCGGCCTTTCCTTATATAGCTTTACTAATCTAAGCTTTAGCCGTCTCTATCAACATATTCTAGGTAAGTCCCCTATTAGTCCTAGATTAGCTTGCTAGCACGGGAGGTGCGGTGATTTTAATAATCCTAGGGTTATTTCCGGACTGTATATTATACGTTAGGGGGCCTAGCGCTACGGGTAGGGTCGCTACTACGGCTACCTAGTTAGGATTTCCTTTAGGAACTATTACTAGGTTCTTATACATTTAGGTAAGCCTTTTTAGCTTGTTAGCTATCTCTACTACCTAATTTTAGAGTTGTTTATTCTGTTTTGCTAGTTCCTTATTTTGCTTAGCAAGCTCTTGGTATTCGCGGTTAGCGTTGTTTCTATCTTCTTGCTGTTTTGCTAGGATTTCTGCAATGGCTTCGAGGACTTAGCTGTTGGAGATTAAATATTTACCCTATCCTTAAATAGTTGGGTTTAGCTAAGATGTTAAGGGGATTCTGCCTTCCTAGGTTGTAGTAGCATTCTCTTCTAATTCTTCCTCTGTGCGATAGGGCTCTGGTTCGGGTTGGGTGGTTATCGAGCGGAGGGTTATGCCGGTTAAATTGATTCGGCGGCGGCCCCTTCTAGCCGGGACTTCTAATTGGGTTCGAATAGGTTTCGGAGCGACCGGGGATGTCGGACTTAAGTTTCGCCGACCCCTGGGCGTCTAGGGTTCCTTTCTAGGTCGCATGGTTACACTGCATTCGCCAAGCCGGCGCTCGGGCCTCTAGGTTGAAAATTTTTGGTTTAGAGAGTTGGAGTTGGTATTAAGAAGACCTAGGCTAGCGGCCGTACTAAGACGGTGCACTAGGTGCGGTGCTGCTAGATGGATATGCTGGCTGTTCGCTTTGTTTTGCTGGTAGTCTTGGCCGATTCTTGATTGGATCTCTTTTTCGTTCGCCTAATTGATTGATCTCAACTGCTCTTGATTGAGGGATATAATGGCTCTCATGGTCAGCTTTCCACTTCCAGTTCTCGAACAATGGCGTTCAATGCAGTTCTTCTCCTTGCTGGGGGTGTGCTGCTGCTTTTACTAGCTGTCTGTCTACCTCCAGGTGTGTTTCGATACCTGCGGCCATACACCGTGCAAATGATGACGTTTTGCTTCTTAGGGCCACCGACTTGTTCTCTCATTGGCAACCTCCACCAAATTCCAAGGACGGGCGCTCATTATAGATTCACCGAATGGAGTAAGACCTATGGCGGCATCTTCTCTCTCAAGCTCGGCCCTGTCACGGCCGTGGTCATTACTGATCGACGTCTCGTGAAGCAGCTGCTCGACAAAAAAGGCAACCTGTACAGCGACAGACCGAACGTGTACGTCTGGAGTGAGCTCATCACCGGGGGCGACCACCTTCTGATGATGAAGCATGGCGAGAAATGGCGGCTGCTACGACGGCTGATCCACTCACATTTCAACGAGGCGCGCGTCGCGCGAGAGCACGTCAGGCTCGTCGAGGCTGAGGCGGCGCAGATGCTGCATGATGTTTTGATGGCCCCTGGCGACCTGATGATGCATCCCAAGCGTTCCAGCAATAGCATCATCAACAGCCTCGTGTACGGCATCCGCACACCGTCAGTGTGCACGCCGCACATGGTGCAGCTCTACACCATCACGGAGGAGTGGTTGCAAGTCATGGAGATGGGTGCGAGGCCGCTCGTTGACATGTTCCCGTTTATTAAATGGGTTCCAGAGGTGCTACTGGGCGGATGGAAAACGCGTTCGCGGTCGCTCCACAAGCTGACAGTAGCGCTGCACGGGGACATGATGAAGAGAGTGCGTAAGAGACGTGAGACCGGGCGCCACACCTGCTTCCTCGACGCCGTGCTCAACTCAATTGAGTCCGCTTCGTTTACCCTTAGCGACAACGAGCTTATGCTCCTGGCCGGCGTGCTGATTGAAGGCGGCTCCGACACCTCGGCAGCATTTCTGCTCGCTTTCCTACAAGCCATGGCTACACACCCGCACGTCCAGCGCCGTGCCCACGTAGAGATTGACGCTCTTCTTGGCTGCTCCTCTGCCCGCTCTCCTAGATGGGACGATTACGACGGCCTTCCGTACGTCACGCAAATTGTCAAGGAGACGATGCGCTGGCTTTCAGCCATGTCGCTGGGAATCTCGCGCGCCACTACCGCTGGTAAGTAGTGAAAACAGGAGAACATTTCCCTCCTTTTTCTAACGCCATCTTCGGCAGATGACATGGTTGATGGCTACAACATCCCAAAAGGCACCATTGTGATCCTCAACGTCTGGGGCCTGCACCATCCACCCCATGACGCCACTGCTTTCGTCTTCGATCCCGAGCGCTTCGTCAACCAGACTGCCCCGGCGGCTACGTACGCGGCATCAGGAGACTACGCGACACGCGACCACTACAGCTACGGTGCTGGCCGACGTCTGTGTCCCGGGATCCATCTGGCTGAGCGTAATCTCTTCATTGGCGTCGCAAAGTTGCTCTGGGCTTTTGATTTCGAGGCCGACGGGGAAATCGATACCGACTCGCGCACGGGATATTCCCAGGGTATCTTGCACTGTGCAAAGCCGTTTTCGTGCAAGGTCAGGGTCAGAAGCAAGGACGTGAGAGACGTGGTCTTGAGTGAGTGGGTGAAGGCGAAGGCGGTAGTGGCGGAGTTTGATACTTAGATTGGGCTGATGGATCTTAGGGTACGGACCGACCTAAGCTACTGTGGCTTGCTGATAAGACCGCGCAGTTTCGTTACTCGCGACCATCGTTGAGTACGATATGGGATCAAAACCTAGAGGAAACGCTTGTATAATGCGCTTGGAAGGCGACTAATCCTCGCTCGTGACCGGAAAGCTTCTTACGCATAGCGTATTACTACTAAGCAGATCGTTTGCCGAGATAGCCATCCGCGTCAAGTTGCACGTCGGTCGGCCTTGTACATAATGTACTTCGCCCGAGGGAAGCGTGACACCCTTCTTGGCTATTACGGCGTTGACCGCTCTGTGCGTGATGCAGATGCAGGCATCCAGTCAGCACTGGGTTCTGTCCCAGATGGTGAGAGAGGGGCCAAAGCGGTTGACCAACATAGGCCGCGTCGGCAACACGGATCACCACCTCCACCATGGCATTTAGCAGGACGATTTTAAAGGCATAAAATCTATCCCTCATTGAAGCAAACTAACTATGGAAGTTGAGTCTTATCCCAACAGTTCTCTTATATCCTTCCAGATGGATCTCTACAGCTTGTAAACCACCAAAAGTCGCTCGTGACGCCACATTGCATCTAGCTACAGCCGTGTTAAGAATCGTCTGGCGCGTGATGCAGCTTCGTAAGACACGATAATGATCAGGCGCCCTATTCGTAAAATCTAATTGGTGGAGCCAGCCTTGCTTACTTCTCCTCATCTTCTCACCCAGTTATATCGATTCTAATCAAACCCTTTACGTCGTTTGTACGACCTTGGCTCTCTAACCTTACTCCCAGCTAGCCCTTTGCTTCTCTTATCTCTGGTTATAACTTGCAGGATACCCAAAGATTCCTCAAATAATCTTACGCATAATCCGCCTCGTAAAGCAGCCGAGTTCACTGTTCGGCCTTGGCAGTAAGACGTTTTCACCACTACTATTCCGACTGGCTCTTCAGATAGAAAGGTGGTGCCAATACAATCTATCCAACGGATATTTCTAGGTCTTATATAAATGGGTCTTAAAGATGATGGTAAGCTCTATAAAGTTTTCTCACCACACTTGAATATCCTTGTTCTCGCGAAGAGAAGTTTTCCAACTCACGATCAACTCGGAATGGAGCCTGTTGGTGCGGCTGCCAGTGCGCTAACGCTCATCGCAGCTTTTGGTGGGTTTGCGCAGGCGATAAAATCTATCAGGGATGCGCCTGAAGAGCTGATAGCTCTTTCCAACGAAATTGCAGACTTAAAGCTTGTGTTGTCTGACGTGGAAGCGCTAGACCGGGAGAGCAATCTCATCAGAACATCGTCAGAGTCGCTCACAAAATTGCTAATCGGTGCCCGTATCAAGCTCGAGGAGCCTGAGAAATTCGCGAATGAGGTTGTCGTTAATGGATCAGACCAAAACGTACGGAGAGTTAAACGCATAAAATGGGCAGCATCCAACAAAGAGAAGGCAAAAAGGTTGCAATCACAGCTTCATGGCATTCGCCAAAACATTGCAACAATACTAAGCGCAAGATCTATGTAGGTATGGACCAACTAGCCAAAAAAAATTAGCTGACAATATGCTCTTCAATTAAAGGCAAGAACGTTACTCTGTCCAAGTCGTTTTGGACCACATTTCGTTCCCAACGACCGAACAAGCGTCAATAATTGCCGAGCCGAGTCCTACCGTTATGACAGCACAGAGCCCGAGAAGCAGTACCACTTTAGACATGGTCCAGACAAAAGTGGAGCAGGGCAATCAAATGACCGACTTCAGCTCCTCGAAGGCTGTTGCATTGCTGGATCTAGCTCTCGAACACACTCGAAAAGCTACTACGGCAATTGAAAAACTCCAAAGAATCCGTCAAACCACATGTAATGCACGAGGCTTCGCGACATCCCAGATCAAGTCTTCACCGGTTACCGGCAAGGACGATGGGACAGAAAGTTCTGGACTATTCATGATACGAGTCCACAAGCGCCAATGGAGGAGTTGTTACTCAGCCTGCAAGTGCAGATGTCATCGCCAGCACAAGGTCCAGACGCCGTCGTTTCTCATGGGTCTTTTAGGTCGGCTCATGGTGGGCTATTCTGGGCAGATTGTCGGCTCGGGCGCCATGAAATGCAGCGAACCACGATGCCTAAACAACGTTACATTCAACGTTCAGGCCACATACATCTTCCCGCGTTGGTTCCTGGCCAAATCACTGTCCCTGGTGGCATGGCAGACACGACATTCTGACCTTACATTGAAAGTCAAGGTCCGCACGTATGCAACTGACGACGAAATATTCCGTCGAATTTCGGTAGGAGATTTATTAGGAGTCCAGGTGGCGTTACAGCAAGGAAGAATTTCTCCCAACCACGTGGAGACTGGAAGGGGCCAGTCTGCCCTTGACGTATGTAAGCCCTATTGACTTTAAATTTTGCTTGCTGGTTCTAGAAACCTAATGAGAATCGGAATAATAGTGGGCTATCGATAGAGGACAGGTGGAAATGTGTAGATTGTTACTAAAGGCCGGTGCGGATCCATCACTCGAAGACCATCACGGACGGTAGGCTGGGCACTCTAAGACCGAAGTACTCTGCTAAAACAGTTAGTGCTCCAATTCAACTCGCCTGGTCAAGAATCTTGGGATCTCTTCCAAGCTTCACACCAGATACAATCAACGGCCTGAAGGGAGTTTTCCAGTCTATAGGCGGCCCCGAAGAGTTAGACCTGCCGGTTATCCATCAGCTTGTTATTGACGGAAAGCTAAAAGACCTCGAGATGGAACTCAAGAAGCCAGGTACCGACATCAACATTCAAGACAGTCTAGGGTCTACCGCAATTGCATGGGCAGCATTGACGAACAACAACGAGGCCGTAAAGCTGTTACTGCAATATCGCGCGGATCCAAATATCCAAGACTTCAATGGAGACACACCAATAAACTGCTCGATCTTTACCGAGAACCCTTCAACAATGGGAATACTCTTGTACAGAAGAGTAGACATATCTCCGAACAAGCAAACTGGATACTCACCTCTCCATCATGCAGTCTATCACCATAACGACCTTGCTTTTGTTCAACCACTTGTGGAGGCTGGATGCGACATCAATGCTGCAGTAGGAACCGGGAGTGGTCAAACAGCACTGGCAAGAGCTGCTGTCCAGGATCGAGATGTTATCGTTTCTTACTTGGTTTCACAGGGTGCGAATATAAATAGTGTCGACCGTCGAGGCGATTCTGTGTTCTTAACGGCCGTGCAGGCCAACTCAAAGAAGGTCTTGCGGATTTTGTTGGCTGCTGGCGCAAACTACCGATCGATCAACAGAAGAGGGTATACCGTTCTCCATACAGCAGCTGACTTTCGCACCGTCGATATCGAAACGTTGGAAATTCTGGCAAACGAAGGACTGGTTGGTGTCGACCCCTTTGCACGGGACTATAGCGGCCAGACCGCGATGCAGGTACTGAAAGTCCGTGGAAAGATTTCTCCGGATTTTTTGGCGGCGTTCGAACGACTTCTAGACAGTGTTTCACCACCTACCTCAGTTTCTCAACGACCAAAACCCCCTTACGCATTTCCGTTTACTATTCTGTAGATACAGTTTCAAATCGGATTTCTACCATGCTTTGTGGGTTTACTCTAAGTCATTAGTGTACTTGCACACTCATTAATATTCTTGTATAGCAGCATCAATGCACGTGGTAACCGAGGCTCAATGCACGATCTCTAAAGAGGAAGAAAGACCCGTCGAACCGGTTAATATCACTGCACGTGGACGATCGGTGTGCGGGGAGTCAGGCACCAAGAGTGCGGGGTGGCGGGGTAACCAAGCATCCGGGTCGGCAAGCGGTAGATCGAAGTACCCGAGCCGCGCACGAGCACAACTATGACGAATATGCACATTGGTGAATACAAGGGCTACTTGAATTTATTACCCTAAAGATTGCTTGGCCTGCTGCGGGGCTATAGGCTTGGTTTCCGGAGCTCGGCGTCATCGAGGCAGTAAACTGCTCTTCCTCCCGAGCGTTTTGCAGACCTTTCTTCACGCATTAGGTCCAAGATCTGGAGAGCTCTTCCACATCGCCTTCAAGCTCTTGGTTAATTAAAATTCAGCGAAGAAATCAGATGAGAAGGTAAAGCGGAAACTGTGCTGTCTGTACAGAGTGTAGAAAGATCAGTGTGTAATCCTCTTGGATGCCAAGTTTACTTGCTTTTTTTGTGCGTACCGGCGGACCGCATCACCCGGATCATTCCATGCGTGCCGTGGTCTTCGCAGAATCATGCCATCAGAAATTGAACGGCATTTCCCCTCGGCTGTCAATTGTTTAATGCCATGCCGAAGACGGTGCCGTGCTAAAGTACGTCATGGCATTTAGAGGGAGCGTCAATACTTATAAATTGGGACCTGAACTGCCTACAGTATTTTCAACATCACACACTGGTTTGTTTTGTGCTGGATCTTGAGAATGTTGTCTTTAATTCGGGCTCTGGCTTTCACGCCGCTGCTTGTGAAAGCACTTGATGGACCTCAAAGTAAGCTCTGTCGTAGCTGTCCTTTCGTATCAGTCTGCTTACTATACTAAAGGCAATCCAACCACTAGCCGCACCTGGGAAGAGTCTTCCGTGCAGGCAGATGCCTTCATTGCAAGGCTAAACTTAACGGAGAAAGTGACTCTTCTCATGGGACACCAGACGGGGCCATGTGTAGGGAATATTCAAAGCCTGCCTTCACAAAACTTTTCCGGTCTTTGCTTGCAAGATGGGCCACTGTCTGGTAATGACCTACATGTTCCCGGTACTACTTTGCTTGTTGATTGGCTGACAATTTGAAGACCGCTCTACGGACTTGGCAAGCGTATTTCCAGCTGGCCTCACTGCTGCTGCAACCTGGGATAAAGACTTGATCTATCAGCGAGCATTGGCGCTTGGATATGAATTCCGCGGCAAAGGATCCCATGTCTTTTTAGGGTAGGATTTACTTTTTGGCTTGCTCCATCGTGGTATCGTTAAAGACACTTACTAACCAATATGTAGACCGGTAGCTGGGCCACTTGGTCGTCACCCTCTAGGCGGCCGTAATTGGGAAGGGTTCTCTACAGATCCATATCTCACCGGAGTGGCCATGGCTGCTTCTGTCCGCGGAGTTCAAGAAGCCGGAGTCCAGGCCTGCGCAAAACACTTCATCGGCAACGAGCAAGAGACAGCGCGAACAACAATCTCTTCCAACATCGACGATCGCACGATGCATGAGCTCTACCTTTGGCCTTTTGCCGATGCAGTGAAAGCCAACGTGGCTTCAATCATGTGCAGCTACAACCGGTTAAACCAGACGTACACATGCGAACACCCGGAACTCCTCAACGGGCTGCTCAAGCAAGAACTTGGTTTTAAAGGCTACGTTGTTACGGACTGGGCTGCGAAACACGTCACAGTACGATCAATTGAAGCCGGGTTAGACATGACAATGCCTGGAGGGGATCTAAGCGATCTAAACGTTCCCAGCACCAACACTGGTACATCATTCGGTCAAGATCTACTGCGTGCTGTCCAGAATGGCACAATAGCGGAAACCAAAGTCGATGAGATGGCTCGTCGTGTGCTGGCACCTTACTTCTATCTCGGCCAGAACGAAGACTTCCCCTCCGTCGATCCATCGAATGCCTACGTGCTGGGAACAATAAACGCGCGACTACAGGCGGCTATCTCCGAGTATGGACCAGACATTCCTCTGGCACGTGACGTCAGAGATGACCATGCAAAGCTCATCCGCGAAATTGGAGCGGCAGGCACTGTTCTATTGAAGAACACAAACAACACTCTTCCGCTGAGCCAGCCAGCGAATATTGGCGTTTTTGGAAACGATGCTGCAGATGTTTCTGAAGGTCTCTACCAATCAAACAGTGGCGAGTTCGGCGCAGACATCGGTACACTGTCCGTCGGTGGAGGATCTGGGACAGGGAAGCTCACATACGTCATCTCTCCTCTATCAGCGATTCGAGCGCGCGCTCAAGAGACAGGCGCACGAGTCCAGTACTTGCTCGACAACGAAGTGATTGCCTCCGAAAATCTGAGATCTATCTTTCCACCACCTGATGTCTGTTTGGTTTTCCTCAAGACCTTCGCATCCGAAGCTGTCGACCGGAGATTCTTCGAAAACGATTGGAATTCGACCGTCGTTGTAGAGACAGTGGCACAGAACTGCCCCAACACTGTCGTTGTTACCCACTCGGCTGGTGTAAACACCATGCCCTGGGCGCATAACCCCAACGTCACTGCCATACTGGCTGCTCACTTCCCTGGGCAAGAGAGCGGAAACTCAATTGTCGATGTCTTGTTTGGCGACGTGAACCCTTCTGGTCGCCTTCCATACACTATCCCAGAGAGTGAAGAGGACTACGACCTCCCGACTGTTAACATCACCGCTGACACCCAAGAGACGGATCTTTCAGCTTGGCAAGCCGACTTCACAGAGGGCTTATTGATCGACTACCGCCATTTCGATTCGAAGAACATCACTCCTCTGTACGAATTCGGGTATGGATTGAGCTACACAACATTCAGCTTTTCTGCTCCTCTCGAGGTGACGAGCAAAGCGAGTGGTCTCTCTGCATTCCCTTCTTCCTCAAGGAACTCCTCAAGCAACGTCAGCTCAGGAGGCAACCCCGATCTTTGGAAAGAAGTGCTTGTTCTTCACACAAGCGTCAGCAACGATGGCGATGTCGCTGGAGCGCAAGCCGTGCAGCTTTACGTCGCTCTTCCTGAAGATACTGCGCCTCCTAATACCCCTATGAGAGCGCTTCGTGGGTTCGAAAAAGTTACCCTTGAGCCCGGAGAGTCAAAAGATGTGGAGTTTGTGTTGCTTCGTCGGGATCTCAGTTTTTGGGATGTCGCTGCTCAGGACTGGCAGATTCCTCAAGGGGAGTTCACGTTTTCTGCTGGTTTCAGTTCAAGGGACCTGAAAGAGAGTTTCCTCGATCATATTCTATGATTTTAAGGAGAGATACGTAGCCAGTTATGTTTAGCCCGTAATGGTATGGAATGATATTTACCACCCTGACCTTAGTAGTCAAAGGCAGAAGCCCTCAGGGCGCTTCTCGGTTAAGCTTGAAACCTCTATTCCAACGATACTTCTGTCCATTTCCGCTACGCTAGCAACACCTAAAAAAGCGATGAAAGTTATAGAGCAGAATGAGGCCTGAGGCGAGAGTCCGGAGAGGGGGGATTTCGAATTTTCACACACGGAGGTTGCCTCAAGGACGGCGATCAATACTATTACGCGATTGTGCATAATCGCTGCCACCCCGAGCGAATGGTCGACCCTAAGGAGGTATCCCACGAACTGGAGAACATGTGATTATGTGAGTTATTTACTGTGCCACACATAATACCCGGGATACACATAAGCGCCAGGGCTTACAGGGGCATGGAACACTACCTACTAATATTAGATATTTTTAAGGCAGTCAATCCAATTAATAGACTACCAGGCAGCGCATTCGTGACGTCAATTTCTAATTATATGCGCTGTCACAGCGCTCGCAAATTGCGGGGTATATATATCATTTCGAAAACCTTTCCATTTCCCCAACATTCCATTCAGTACAAGATACCGGCTTCTACACTTTCAACCATGTCTGAACAAGGGAACTTCTGTGCCAATATAGGTACTGAAGGGGCGCAAGCATGTACGAATCCAGGAGACAAACCATGTCCACGATGCTACTTGGTTGGAGTGAGTTTATGTCCTGGTAGAAAAAAATAAAATAAAATAAAATAAAAAATATCGGCAGTTAACGCATCATTAGTATTGCAGTAGGCAGTGCCAGAAGACCCACTGGGAGCAACACAAACCCGACTGTATTTGCAAGCTGGGAAAGAAAACATGGCGACCATCCTGGGACGTTGAGGGTAGGACACCAACATTTATCACGCCTGAAGATAACCACGGCCCCGAATTAGACCTCTCCGCTCTTGCAGCTACAATGACTACCCATGGTACAAAAAAGTTCTTGTGGGGAAACGTACCCGCTTTCGACTTGCTGAACCTCATGCATAATGAAGGGATAGCATACAATCAACATATTCGACTTCTCTTCGCAGGTGAGCTCCCTCACTCATGGCTTGTTAGTGAACTTGACCTAACTTTTATATCAAGCTTCTGGAGATTTGAGGAACGTAGTCAAAACAATCACAGGGATACCCAAAGGTTCAACGCAAAACATCGACGTCGTAATCAATGATCGAGAAATCGATATTGTAGCGCGAAACGCTATCATCATCCTCATTGCTATGCATGTGGACCCGGAGACCGCAGCAGATGCTATGATACATACATGGTACTCTGCCTTTCTGCCAGCGGATTCAGCCAGGTGTCTAAAGGATACAGTCCTTCCACTTATTCGCTCTGTCTGCGAAAAGATCCAGGCCAAGCCCGATAACAAGTTGCTTTCCAAAAAGTGGACGGTTGGATCTTGTTCTTTCCGCCTTGTACTTGAAAAAGCATGCTGGGACTATTTGCTGCGAGTTTTTGAAACTCCTGCATCTGTCACTACTGCAGCTGCAGAGAAGATACGCCAATCGACAGTATTAGCACCGTCGAGAAAAGACTACCTCGAGAGAGCTCTATATTTTCAGCCTGAAGGTTGGCGTAGGGCTACCATGAAATTTCGAGAGGACGGCATCCTACTGCCATTTGGAGCACCGAGGCACGGGTATGATACACCTAATCCGTAAGTTTCTCCAAAATGTAGTGATGTTGACCTCTATCTTGCTAAGAGAAAATAAGAACATTCTTTTATAACAATCAGTGGCCAATGATGGATTCGGCGGACCCAATTGCCGGTTGGGCCATTGCAGAAGTAATCCAAGCAGCTCATCCGGCTAAGCATGATCTCTACGGAGGATTGTTTCTTTACCTACGGCTACTATTATCCAAATTTTGCAAAAAAATTCGGAATCACGCGATCAACTTCGATTTACGTCACATTGATGCTAAAATCTTTCCTGGCCATTGGGCAGAAACCCAGGACGATATCCAGCTGTTTGACAGGATCGAAGTGAGTATAAATCAGTAATAAAATTGCAAGATGCAAGCAGCTAACTTTAGCAGGTTTCAAACATCGCCGATAAATGCTATTTGGGAATACGGAAGTGTTTGAACACATTTGCTCCTCTACTGAAGCCAATCACCGAAAACCCGCATGCGACGCTGGTGACGCTCTTCCTCAACGCCGTCAACGAGATGGAATCGCGACCAGACACGACCCAGACATTATGGCGGGAAATGGGCCGTCTGATGGCATACTTCCCAGAAAATCGGCTCGCCAAAAATAAGCGCGGTGCAGAAACCATAAAGCTCACTGCAGCCCTAGACCTATTGCGCGATTTCGACGGCCTCTTCACACGGTATACTCAGCGGTACGACTTCGCTTCTGCAAGTAAAGATGCTGGGGTGCAATGCAAGACTAAGCATACACTTGTCGAGCCGTGGCCGATGCGTCTCAAGGACAACGCTACAAAGGAAAATTTTGAGGCGCTGTTCGGGTCACACCACTGTGGGTCTGAGCACTACCTTGAGTGGCAGAGAGTAAGTAAGTAGGAACGGTGTTGAAGGGTAGTTGGATAGGCAAGAGATTGAGAGTACAGGTGCAAATTGAATAGCCGAGCGCCATAAATCCGCAACAAACCATGGTTACTTGAAACTGGGCATTTTCTTTTATCACCCTGTCCAAAAGCATGCTATAGCTATTCTCTGGAATGAAGTGCACTATTGTTTGCAAAGGTGAAAGGCCTTAGACGAGTAACAACCAGATAGAGTATTAGAGTTCCAGAGAAGATCTTGTTTCAAGGACTGTATGTGCGAGAAGTAAATAGACCTAGCAGGATGTGAAGAAGATCAAGTGTGTTAGTTTTTCTACATGTGAAGAGAGGCGGCTTAATAGAGCCGCTCTCTGAAAAAAGCAAACAAGTAAGGAGTAGGCTAATACTAACTCCTTCTAGCAAACAGCAAACCTTCTATCAAGTGTACAATCAATTGCGAGAGACAAAGAAGGTTATGTAGTAAAAGATTACAATTTAAAGCCCTCCGCAGAACGCTAGGATGTTACCCCGTTTACCCGATTACCCTACTTCGTTTTAATCGCTAGGTGCCAAATGTCTTTATCTTTTCTTAATCGGCTTCGAAATTCATGGAGGAATAAGCTCCACCAGTGGTGGACTTGGCTGGGGCCATGGCGCTTGGAGCAAATTACCAAGGGACCGAAGAAGGTCAGGCCACTAGCTATCGTACAGGAGGCCGATAAGCTCGGCGCGTATCCGGAATCTGGATAACAATAAAGGAAGGTGGCCGGTGCCTAATTGCTCATCATTCGGCGTCAGCAGGGGCCATGTGGGGCTGCATGTAGTCCGCGGAGGGGATGTCTATCTACATTCATCCTAGTTCACCACTCACTACGACTGTCTAAACTAACTGGCTAGCAGGTTCTCAGTCCGCCCAATCCTCAAATATAAAATATGTGCATTTTCCTAGGCCTAGCTCTTTAACCTTCGAATCAACGTGGCAACTCTATCTTGCTCTTGGACCCCAATGCGCCAAGAGCTTCCATCGACCCATTTGCTCCTGACTAACCCCACTTCTCTACCACGGACGCCTTAATTGAAATCCTTCGCTCCCGCATATATATATCACCGTAGGAAATCTTTTTACTAACACCGTCCGTTCCATCCTCACTCTACCTGCTATCACTATCAACATGAAGATTTTCCAACTCGTCTTACTTCTCTTTTTGCATCTAACGACCGCTTTTGCCGCCTATAATAACATCCAAGGTGAAGGCGAACAAGTAGTAGTTGACAATGCCATGTCGGAGCCTGAGAGCCAGCTGTCTGCCTCGCTACTCCTCGGAAGAGTTCTCAAGAAGCAGCTGAAGAAGGACAAGCCTCAATACAACGCAACATACGTCTTCCTCGCTTATAAAGAGGGGTGTGCGCTTGAGGATCATGTGAATGCGAACTACGGTTTACAGTAAGACCCTATCCCTCAGCTATAACCTAGGCTCCAAACCAAACTAACCGGCCACTCGCAGCCAACAACTGTTGCTCGCACAGTGGAATGATCCAGCTGAAGTTGACGAAAACACCCCTGCTTTCCAGGCCACTACCTTTGACTTGATCACCCCCGAAAACTATAGAAACAAATGTGGTGGCCAAACTGTCGACTCAAAGCAAACCGCTAAGGCCGTCGGTAGAGTGTGGGATGACGCGCGGGCCCTCAACTGGCATAAGGATCTACACTACCGGGTCAAGGCTATGGATACCCATCGGATGCCGTACCATGTTATTTGCGATTATCTTGAGGAAAACATGGTTCCGTTCGAGACAGATTTTTTTGATATATTCTCATATCAATGGTGAGTAATCTTACTGGTCCATAATATAGCCTGTATAGGAACAGCGTGCGGAATCGTCCAGCCTCATCACCGTCGGTCTGAACAAATAGACGGTACGCTAACAGACGGTGACGACCGTCTCCGTAGCGTCGCGCCAAGAACGGTCTCGTCCCGACGGAGCTTAGTTCAGGGGGACGGTAGCAGACGGTAGTTAGAGGCGACCGCCATATATGTTACCTAATTAGGCTTAGAGCTAGGGTATCGGTTAGTCGGTATATAATCTTATATCTTCGACGCTATACGAATCTTTATAATACTATACTAAATCTCGCGATATCGGTCTAACTAAACGAGACGGCTTACTTCGTCGTCTAATTGAACGAATGGACGGTAGGGACGGCAGGCGGTTCGTCCCGCCCACCGTCTAGCGCTGACGGGACGGTTGAACACGCTGTATAAGAAACACCTAGTTTATTTCGCAATTTTTGATATCCTCCGAAAATGGTGTTTTACCAATAAAAGAGTATGTTTATAATGTTGGATTATATTCCACTACGCTACGTACTTACGACTCTTTATCCCTGGCCGGACCGATGATTTCCCTACCTGTCCAGCTATTACTTCGTTAAAGTCGGCATAAACAAACAGTCTTTACCAATAATCCTCCCCGCCGACATACTCTTCGCATCGCTCAAGCCTCGTTTCGGCTCCCCCAACCGCAACCACTTCCCAACCTCTATCATCCCAGCCTGTACACCGTACTCGCTCTACACAAACTCCTGCAGTTGAGTCAACGGCACCCTCTCCTTCACACTTGGTGCTCTATCCCTATCCCCAGCAGCGACTTTGCAAAACCGTTCCGCGACAGACTCTGCGCTTGCCAGATCGAACGCTCCCTGCCAACCCTTGCTCTTCAGATCCAGTAAGGCACCTACACGAGACCCACCTCCTACTACCGTAGCCATTATGTCGACAACAGGAGCACGAGTCCTACAATCTTGGAGCTGCGATGCACTGTCACATCCAGCAACGAGCGCGGGTGGGGCGAACGTTGCGACACCAGCCGCTGAGTGGGAATGCGACGCAGTGCGGTGAGAGTAGCGAGCTCACAGGTTGAAGCGACATTGGTGGTGGCGTCGTTGGCCAGGAGCAGGTGTTGAAAGCGCACATGGCTGTATTCGGCGGCCAGTACGCGACAGAAGCCAACTGAGGCATTTGCGTAAGGGCTGGACTGCAAGCTCACCCACAGCAGGTGGCGGCAGTGCGACGAGCTCGTTGGCGTTGAGAGAGTCAAGGTGTTCCAGCAAAACAAGCGAGGTCACGGGCCCTTTACTAGATTAGGCTTAGTGAAGCATGTTGTGGCGTTTCCAACGTTCTTTTCTCTGGCTGCCGTCGGACGACCCATTCCATCTTCTTGAACGAGTAACTAGGTAGACCTGGACGAATTCGGATCCTGATCCTGATAGGTTTCATAGGCTCATTTATTCTCTTAAGACATTTCCTGTTTACTCCGACTTGTACGCCTTGGCCTTAATGTACGCATGTATGCTTGCGGCGGCTTGTCGAGGCGATACATGAGTAACATCAAGCCACAGGCCATTTTCTGCTCCGAAGGTATACAGCTCGCATCTCGACCGCATGGACCTGAGTATTTCACCATCCACTAGCTTCCCGGTACCGTCGTTTCGTCTCTCAACAGTCGCCACCCTTTGTAGGTGCTCTTCAAGATCGCAAGCCAGGTAGACGGAAAGGAAAGGTCTTGCGCTTTTCGCCGCCGCATTTTTATACTCAGCTGCCACGCTACAGCCAAGAGCATTGCGTGATCGAAAATCTACGCGTAATTATCAGTTCGGAACAGACTATGGCCCGGTAATCTACGTACCTGTAAAAATTATTGTTGTCGCGCGTATTTCTGGAGGATACAAATATTTGGAGAAAGTAATAGCACGTTGGAGACGCCGCTGCTCTTGATAGTCTGCATGGTGTCGCGGAATTCTGGCCTCGACGGGATCGATAAGCTGATGATTATCGATAAGGATAGCCTGACGGTGACGGTCTTGGTAGAGCTGAACGACCTCCCTAGCAATGGTCAGTTTGCCCATTCCCGGGAAAGCGTTGATCCTGACAACAGGCGCTGCTTCATCGTTTGAACCCATGGATTTGAAAGCGGCCTATTTGGAGTAACCTGCGGCGGCGGCGCACGACTTGGGAACGAGACAGCTGATGAATTTGCAGCGAGCGCGTTGCTTTTCGCAGGTCTATAATTTCTGTGGGCCGACTTTTTGTCTAGAGGGTGTGTTGAGGACGAGGGTGGGCAGAACCTAGGTACCACCTTATCACGGGGTTTGGCTTCTGCCCGGTCGAATCTGCGTCATTCTGGCGTTATGCCCCGCTTTGTGAAACCTGCCGTCTTCCTAACAACCCCCAACGTTTGCTTTTTCTCGAGCCCGCCTCACCTGCGCATTTGTTGCAAATATGGGTAAACATCCGCTACCGTTCTTCGAGGATGACAACATCCAGGCGGCTCTGTCGTCCGCTCCATCTACCCCCGGTAACACTTTAGTTCGTCTCAAAGCCGGGCCGTTAAGCGTTTTCTCGAGGGACCAGCTGGTACAGTCTCTGCTGTCCATCAAACAGGCTGCGAACATTGTCAAAGCCGTAACCGAAGTCTATAGGGTTGGTCTGGTCACGACGTCGAATGAAGAAGTACGCCTCATACCTTTCCACGGACTCTCTACTGAATGGAAACCGGCTTGCGATCTCAAGAGGAGTACAACGCTTCATATCCGGGCTACATCTCATCTAAAAACGGCCCCAAATCATCCAGCGCAACGCTCGACAATATACAGCGGGACATCACGCGCGACAATCCTCCAGCTATGGGCCTCACTTACCTATGCGGTAGCAACAACGAGGCCGCGACTAAAAGCATATTCGCTAAGATCATTCGCGGCGAGCTTCAGCAGTGGCGCGTGTGGGAGAGCGCCTCGCATGTCGCCTTCCTAACACCGTTTGGTAACGCGCCAGGCCTTACCGTGATTGTGCCGCGCAAGCCACTCGGAAGCGACATCCTTGCTATGTTTAACCAAAATCTAAGTGACCTGGCCGCCGCAATCTGTCTCGTCTAAACCTGGTCCGCCTGCCGTTCTCAGTGAGTTTCAAGATCTCAAGCTAAAGTGTATGCGCGCTGCGGAGGAGAGGATACTATAATCCATCTTTAGTTCTTAGACCTAACGGTAAGCCTTTGTTACTTGCTTTGTTTGACCCTCCTTTGTTTTGCAGCCACAATTATGTAATCCTTAGTCTCGTGACTTGTCAGCCCCCAACTACAGAAATATCTGATACTGTCCTTCTACGACGCCATCACACCTCTCCGTCCGGCCAGGTGTACTCCAAGCAAATACGCTAAGAATCCCACCCAAAACTACTATCTCCTCCCC